CCTGAGGAGGAGCGAGCCAAATATCAATACGACACCGACAAGACCATGACGCTGCTCAAGTTTGTTGCTGAGGATGGTACTGATTTGGGTGAGTACATGGATGAGCAAGTCTTGCCACTACATAAAAAAGCTGATTGATAGATATAGATCAAAATGAGGGTTAAAATGTGGCAGACTTTTTAATCCAAAAGATGCCAAGGCTCTCTACCTGTTTCTGGACTGGGTTCCAATATCTGCAACTACCTAAGATTATATTTTGGAACCCTTGGCATGCTATGAAGTACGAATAATCTTCCTTACATATGAGGTATGGTGAACTGGTTCGCTGTTCACCCCACTTCCATGAACAACACCAACACCCTCGTGTCGGGCGACAACAAGGGTTACGCTGAACAGCTTTTCGAGAAGGCCATGGATCCCGGCTCACTCGCCGGGAAGGTAATCAAAATATTATTCATAATATCCTTTGCTCGATCGTTTAAACTGCTTGATTTGCAACTAAATCCACTAAAAAGTACGGTCTTTAGTTTGCAAGAATACATTATTCAGCAAATAATTTCGACAGAAACAAATAACATTTTTCATTGCACTTAATAATCAGATGAAGCAGTGTATGGAAGATCTTGCGAGGACCCAATTTCATGGCAGCTCTGCATCATCTCACCTCTTTTCCATTAGGGTAAATTCGTAGGGGCGTTCGCCCAGAGCAACTGCGGCGACGTCTCACCCAACACGGACGGCCCCAAGTGCCAGGACACGGGCCTGCCATGTGACATCCTAACGTCCACATGCGGAGGTCGCGTCAAACTCTGTTATGCCGCTGGGCCAGGCAAAGACATGGAGGAAAGCACCAAGATAATCGGCACAAGGCAGTTCGAAAAAGCTGTCGTAAGTCTGGATGTTCCAGACAGCCGACACAACTGAGTTAATTGGATCCATAGTAAATTAAGAAGTAAAATTTTCCTATAGAAAGTAGTTATGACAACCAATTGCGAATTAGGAATTTGTACATATTTTCTACAAAAAGTTTTTTGTCAAGATGTTTGTGTTACGATTCTAAATAAACCCTGAAAAATTATACAATAATCTATGTATGGAGCAGTTTAATAAAAGCTATGGTAACTTTATTTGTAATTGTAACTGTTCCAAGAACTATAAAATTTTTGATGACAGTCTTACCTTTACGGTCGTGAATACTGAAATAATTTGTAGTTGATAGTACAATCAATGACCATTCATTAATTTTTTTACTTAATTTAACTGTAAATCTGCGCTCCTGGCAGGAATTGTACAACGATCCTAATGCCGTGCAAGTCATCGGCCCCGTTCAAATAATTGGCCAGCAGCTCGACATGTCCAACTACACCGTGACGCTGGCCAACGGAACCGCGGTGAGAGTTTCTTGGAAATAAAACAATGGAGTTTTTGACAATAACTTAATCCTTTGTGCTTTGCTCTTTCTTTCTCCATTGCCACTAAAACATCCCAATGTGTAGGAACGAAAGAGTGAGCTAAGGCGCGAGTGTGCTACAAAGATGGCGGCGTAGCAACGCGGCTAACGTGGATACGCGGGAGCTTGGCGAGCCCGATTGGAGGCTGCTGTAGCTCGAGCTCGTATATATAGTGTTCAAGTTAACCTAAAGACAAATTCGTAAATTGAATTTCGCTTATAAATGAGATTAAAGTAATGCTACGCTCAGAAGGTTAGGCATTAAAGCATTCAAGGTAGACAATGAAACAGGACTAAACCGGTTATTTCATTAATTTCAATTACTTACGTATCCTAAAAACTTTTTTTGACCAGACACGGACTTGTAGACCAGCTCTGGGATTTAGCTTCGCAGCTGGAACCACAGACGGTCCAGGGGTTTTCGACTTTACCCAAGGAATGACAGAAGATAATCCGTTCTGGACCAAAATCGTCAACTTTGTGGTTGAGACGGATCCAGAACAGATCGTATGCCACCATCCCAAGCCAATTCTGCTTGACACTGGAAACGTGAGAAATTAATTTGAAAATTTAAATTAGGCCAATGCATCTCGCTAACGATAGAGAGACATCAATAGAAGTTTTATTTACGGCTAAAAATGTTGCATTTTTTGGATATAAAAACTACAATTGGATGCGTAAATCATCTGATGAACGCGTTCTTATAATTGATCATTGAAATGAACGAAGAACCTTTGCGCGAAATGACTTAATATGTCTCAGCCTCCATCGGTTCGAAATGCTTAGCTGGTGAAATTTTCAGAGTAATAATTCAACTATTTAGGGATCAAGGATCCATATATATAATTTTTTCAGAGTCTTGAAGTGCACTGCCTTTCACTCTAAAATTGTGGACTTTGTCTTCAGTATCACAGGCCGTACGAGTGGACGTCGGACATCGTGGAGACGCAGGTCGCCAGAGTGGGGCAGTTCGTGATCGCTGCCGTGCCAGGGGAGTTCACCACCATGTCCGGCAGGAGAATGCGCGACAAAGTCGGTTGTTGAAACTTAGAATCCATTTCAAGTAAATCATAAATGAACAAATGTACAGTGAATTGATCTCTATGCAATGACTTGGTCATTCAATCAATATACATGCTTTATTGTTTCCGGACACACGATACGTTTGCAGGGAACGAATAGTAAAGTATAAAAAGTGGAAAAAGTTCTGAAGAAAAATTTTCGTAGGATTTCAACTTACTCTAACTTTATTCAAAACTAGGTCTGTGAAAAATTTGTGTTTTTGGAAGCTATCAGATCAGTTTGCTATCAGTTAAAAATTGGTCAGAGTTATCCAAGGTAAAGTTAAGCAAGTTAACAAGCAGTTAATACTCTCAATTAAAAATGCTAGCCGATGAAAGGCTTTTAGCTTAGCAGACGGAATCGCTGTTAAGTTATAAGGTAGAGTTTTTTAAAACTAACTTAACTTTCTCTCATAAACTCGCATGTAAATTTTGTGCTCAGTTGTCATCAGTTTTTGCTGAGGAAGGTGTCCCGGACATCGTGCCAGTGATAGCAGGACTGTCCAACGTCTACACCCACTACATCACCACGTTCCAGGAGTACGCGATCCAGAGATACGAAGGAGCCAGCACCATCTTTGGTCCGCACACCTTGGAGGCTTACATGCAGCATTAGCAACAATGTGAAGCCCGTTAGTTGTCCGCGAGGAAGTAGATGAAGTACAAAATTGGACAGAAGTTACTTTTTTCCAGGGAGAAGCCATCCTGCCAGGTCCTTCCCCTCCAAATTTACTTGAAGATCAAATCAGTCTTGTGCGTGAAAACGTCTACGACTCGACGCCATTCGACTACGCCTTTGGTGATGTGCTGGCCCAACCCTACCCGGTAGCGTACCCCGGAGAAACTGTCATCGTCAAATTCGTAAGTTCTTTTCCGATGTGTGGGTGTTAACTTGATCCCTGAAATCCCTGACAGGAATCCAGTTTTTATGTAGTAAATAAGATCACCAGAAGGAACATTGCATTCGATGTAAATATGCGTTCTAACATTCGGCTTTTGTAAATGTAAATAAGAGTTTATCGCTATGTTTTTAAATTCGCACTTATCTTGAATTTATTCAGGAAGAGTATTATAGAACTGTTCAAATGAATGCTTATGGACGGTACTGTTTAGAATATTACATACATAATATATTTAACGACAAACTCGCGTCAATTCTTCACTGAAGGTATCGGCTCACCCACGGAACGATCCCCTGCTGGGCGGCAGCTTCTTGACCGTCGAGCGGCAAGCCGACGATGGCTCATGGGAACTCATCGCTACTGACGCCGACTGGGAAACAAAGTGAGGAGTTAAATGAAATTCCTTCACTTATGAAGGAATTTCGGAAGACTTATGAATGATATAAGTCTTTCCTTTTATGCATGAATGCACATTAAATAATTCAAATGTCAGGCCTATTTCTTCAGTGCCGACACTTCTATTCTATTCTATTCATACATAGCTTTAAACATGAAGCGGGCTATTCGATCGCGTACTTCGAAACAGCATGTCGCGATTTCATCCTGACTTCAAAATAAATTTTTATTTTTAGTATTATAAGGCAATTAAAATGTTGGGAAAGATTTGATTGAAAATTGAATTTAAATGTTATTTAAAAAGTTACAACATCTTTCAAATTTCGAAACAAAAGGTAACAAAACGAGGGTTTGAGTGGGTATTATTGGAATATAACTAGGGTTAGAAAATTATCAGCTAGATTCCGAAAATGGGATTTCAAATCTCAAAAATGTCCTGTCCCGGTCAACGCCGGTGAGCCTGTTATTTTTTCATACGCGTTCAAATTTTTTTTAATCAATAAAATATAGCCCCACATGTTTAATAATTATTAAGAACAGTCGTGAATTAACATGAATAAATGAACTAGACAATTGAAATAAAAGTACACTTTTAGATCGCGGGTTATTAATGTTGAAGTGAACGATTGTTCCAGAACAGATAACTTGTTATTTTGCTAGTACGAGTGTATGAGCCATCGCTTGCATACCATATTTACTCCTACACTCATTCGTATCCGGGCAATACTCATTCACATTGTGTCGGCAAGACAACTCGAATACCTCGTTAGTTATTGACAGTATATGAGCTGAGTAAATCATGTCCTTGTGTAAAAATGAAATTAATATCGATTTTAACATTCGTCGTTAACTTGTATTGCTTCATTGGAGCTCTATTATTTACAGACTTCGTTTATTAATTAGTCAGCAATGGCATGCATGTCATGTTCGTCTGAACTTGAGAAGCTGCTCCAATCGTCCAGAGGCCGTAATATGTATCTTAACTCGCTCTAGCACGCGAAGCAGCCGATTTCACGTCTGTGAGTGGTGGCTTTTGTTTGAGGAGTCGTCAGATATTGGCTGACAGACCTACGAACTTAAAACTCTTCTAGTAGTTCTCAGTAGACCCTGGTACCCTACTAAGTGGACACTAGCAGCCTAGCTGGTACCTTTAAGGACCCAACTATATCGACCCCTGCCTGGTACTTGCAGGTACTCCTGGCAACGGACTTCAACGTTGCTGGGGACGTCAGTGGCCACGGTCAAGTGGGACGTACCAGAAGATACCACCAACGGAACGTTCCGTATCAGCCATACTGGTCACGCCAAGTTCATGGGGGGCACCATACAGAGCTTCCTTGGCGTCACCGAACCTTTCTTTGTGGGATTTATGACGCTCGTTTTATCATAATAATCTAAAAGCTTCGAATTAATAATTAAACACATTATTTTTTTCACTGAAAATTCCATATTATAATATCCTCTCGCACATTGAGGCACTCAAAATGTTGATTAATTAATTCACATTAATAATGATTTATATTGCAGGTCGCTCTTCCTGACAGAAATTCGACGGAGTTCATAAACTTACCTCGGGAAAAGCCAGATGATACGCCAGCAACCAACAATATCGGAAATTTGCTCAGCTACGTCATGAGTTTGGTCATGTAGAAGTGCAAGAAGTTCGCTGAAATTGAATTGGGTGGAGAAAACGAATCGTCATTTCGATTTTCCTTCAAGTAAACAGGCATTAAATTTGAACGCTTCGATTGTTTCTTTTCATACTTCAGAAAATGAATTTACGGCATGTGAACAGTACTAACAGGATGTAGCGTGCAAGTACCGAATAATGAATGTTCGGTAGCACTAGGCGTGCAGTACCGAATAATGAATGTTCGGTAGCACTAGGCGTGCAAGTACCGAATAATGAATGTTCGGTAGCACTAGGCGTGCAAGTACCGAATAATGAATGTTCGGTAGCACTAGGCGTGCAATAGTTCAACATACCATTTAGGTTTGCGCGCTGAATTTACGCTCATACACAGGCATGCCGAACATGAAAAATTACGAGCAGTTAACATTGTACTGCTACTCGCCCTTCAAAAATATTAATCAATTGTGTTTCACTAATTTCTAGTATTTGAGTATCAGTCCACATTTCTAACTTTGAGGTACAAATTTACCTTTGTTCTGGTAGTTTTAAGCTTGAAATACCTTTCTATCGGAAATTCAAAGATTACGAGATGGTCATGTTTGGAACAGTAAGTCAAATTGAATACATTTTGAGTTGCGTACGCGAGTTAGAGAAACGTGTCACAAGCACTGTTCCAGATTTGATTCTAGGAATGCGATTGCCAAAGCAGCGGTGAGGCCACGAGAAAAAATTCCATTAGATAGATTACCATGCATATACCTGCATAACTACCGTTAAAGGCGGTAACGATTTAAGATCGAACCTATCCCTCGATCGTTGAGGCAGATTAATGGACCGAAACGACACCTGCGCAATGTTCTCTCGGTTCTTTTGTCTACATGAATTATCTGAAGTGGACGCTCATGCACTATGCAGCCACCACATCGCTTAGTTAGTTAGGCTTAGGCGTGCAAAGGGAGCGTAGTGCGCTACACTTAGCGTGTAGCGCACTACGTGAAAAAACGAAAATTCTGACAACGCTCGCGGTCGTTAATTGTGAATGAACAGCTTCGTTGTTAATAAGGTCGATTTGACGAAATTATGCGTGAAAAACCTACTTATCTTTAGCGTTTAGCGCGCTAATTAAAATCGAAGAGGAAAGAAAAAAAATTGTTGATGCTAGCATGACGGTAATGTTAATAAATATCTCAATTTATGATTTGGTTCTGATCGGTTTCGATTTGACCAACTTGTGAGCGATTCGACACTTCAACGAACTCGCTTGCGAACTGGACGGCGCACTCGAACGCACAACCTAACTTGACGACGGAGTTCATAACTCACCCAGCTATTAATCCATTAATACTGAACGGATTTCATTCAAACTTGGAACATTAGTAGGTATTACTGATGCATTGCGGTGGGAATTATTTCAGATTTTTACATCAATTAGTTTTTATTAATACGACAAACCTAACTTCACGTTCAACTCACCCAACCATAAATCCATTAATACTGAACGGATTTCATTCAAACTTAAAACATAAGTAGGTATTGCTGATGAGCTGCGGAGGGAATTACTTCAGATTTTTACATCAGGTATTTTTTCTTTAATACGGAAAACCTTAATTCACGTTCAACTCACCCAGCCTGAGTTAAAGAATGCTACCCGGTTTTTTTTTCAAGAATTCATAGCTGAAAAACGTCAACTCGCAGGTTAGGTTAAGACAGCATAGGTTTTTTTAAATACTACAAAATACTTAAACTTGACCTGGCTAGGACCCAACCTGCGAGTTGAACGTGAAGTTAGGTGTTCCGTATTAATAAAAACTAATTGATGTAAAAATCTGAAATAATTCCCACCGCAGTGCATCAGTAATACCTACTAATGTTCCAAGTTTGAATAAAATCCGTTAAGTATTGACGGGATTATAGTTAGGTGAGCTTAACGTCCAGTTAGGTTTTGCGTTCGAGTGCGCAGGCTAGTTCGCAGGCGAGTTCGTTGGAGTGTCGATTCGGTAAACTTATGCGCGGAAATCCTGCTACGGAAATTCGTCCAAAAAGTGTTGATAGGCTATGGTATGTAGCTGAAAGCTAATTTTAATTGGTAGCCGATGCGGGTGAATCTAGTATTTTCATTATGAATTTCAATTTGTATATTATATTATGATCAGCAAAAGACGATCCTGGTCTGTACGGTGGCTAACAAATGGCAATGCGCCACGATGCCGTCAGCAGGCTGTAGTAACTTGTAATTAATTAATGTATCATCTGAGTTATGGTGAACCTTGTGCAACATGGCGGCAGCCGGCAAATGCAACATGGGCCTCGCCAGGTTCTGGATCTTCGTCTTAGTTCCACCAGCTAGAATTTAACATCGTTTTGTCTAAGCTAAAGCTAAAGCCTAAACTAAAGGATCATACGTCCAAACAATTCAATTCAACAATACGTCCAAACAACAGTGGCCCAGTGGTTAAAGTTCAGAGTATCAGAATTGGCGCAGAGAGGCGCGGGTTCGATCCCAGCTCTGTGCGCCAGTTTCTGGTCAGAATCGGCTAGGAGGCCGGGCGGTTAGGCACAGCAGAATTGAATCAGTGAGTTGTGAGTTCGAGACCGCAACAAGTTGTGGATGTTCTGCGATGTTAAGAATCGGCGACAGGCCTATGGCCTAATAAACGCCGAAACCGCTATATTAATATAATATATATAATAAAATTACTCGGTCATCACCCTTCACCCACAAACAAGGCAGTATTTGCTTAAAAATATCAAGCCTGTCAAAGTGCCTACAAAACTTCACACACCAAATCTCTATATTGGCCAAGACAAAATGGTACATTACTCATTAGTATTTCCATTATACTCCGTTTCTATTAGCGATAACTTATGCGAGCAAACCCAATTTTGCCATGGCTAGATTAGATCATAGAATAGTTTTAAACAATTTTTCTAGTATTTCTTTTCTAATAAAAACATTTGAACGTAATAACATCTTTAGATATATAGGAACGCGCGTCGGGACAAAAAATAATTGTTTACACTGAAGGTAGCCCACCTTCACAGTGATGATAGTTTAAATTTATTACTAAACATAGGTTTAAGTACCGATCACGTTGACCTCTTCGTGTAGCCTCTTACTTTCGTTCCAACTTGTCTAGAGACCTACAAGCTCTACTTGAGAATTATTCCTGAACGCTGACATCCGAGTTCGTGTGTATGATAGAATCTCAGGTTACGAAGTTAGCGGGTAGCTTACTTGCCGTACGCGCGACCTATAGAACTTGAGTTTTTTTTAAATTCATTTTGAGCTAAATGCTTCTCGCTTCCACCAGCGAGAACGATGTCAGCGGGTTTGACATATGCTACCTATTTGACAATTAATGATTATGCAGTTATGATCGAGGCCTTCTAAATTGTTGATGCAGCGATTCTCCGTACGCGCGACCTATAGAACTTGAGTTTTTTTTTATTTCCTTTTGAGCTAAATGCTACTGGCTAAGACCCGCGAAAACGATGTCAGCGGGTTTGACATATGCTACCTATTTGACAATTAATGATTATGCAGTTATGATCGAGGCCTTCTAAATTGTTGATGCAGCGATTCCCGGTGTAGGATAGCTTTGAAACCGATGCACAGTTAACTTTTATATCATCATAGTAGCACCAATCCTAGTAAACAGTAGTTACACTGCAGCACCAGTGTACAACTACGGGGTAAGCTAGACAGCATCGCTTGAAAATACCAAGGGTCCACAAGGAAGTGGTGAAAGGATTTGAACGTCGTAATAACATGGCGAGTCACGAGTCAGATACTAAAGAAACGAAGGGTAATAAAGGCGCGGTATTTCAAGGTTATGTTTAATGAGTTTCCATTAAAATGAATGAGCTAGCTAGGGTGAGAGAAATAAACAATCCTAGGTCACGTTTAGTTGGAAAAACTTATGTCTAAGTTCACCAGCTAAAGCTTTTGTCCACTTGCTAAAAAAGAAAGGTTCAGGGAACGAAAGGTTAAGTTGCAACTTAGTCAGGTAAAAAGAGAGCGAATTCCGGCGCCGGCATGCAAGGGGAAACAAATGCTCAAAAAACCGAATTCTAAGGATTTTTAAGTGAAATTTGTCCGCGCCACCAGTAGTTACTAATTAATAGAGCAGAGACGAGTTCCTTGGGTTAAAAGTTCATGTTATTCATGGTTGTGTCATCGACGGTACTGCTGACGAATTATACATGCACGAAACATTTTCAAGTGATAGTAAGAATATAACGCATTCCATTACGATTTTTCATGCACTCTTTATTCAGGAGCTTATATTAAAAAACTTGACAATCAAAAATTGAAAAAAATTATCTCATGACAGCAACGAAATAGTTGAATACTAGCGCATTGCATCGAATAGTTTCAAACGTTTATTATAAACACGTCCACGTACCGAGCCAATGGCTGGATCTCCTTACTGATTTGAGTGCCACATTAATTAATAATTGCACAAACGCGCCGATATTATATACTTAAATCGCAAACGAATAAGCTCAAACGGTTAAACATTTTATGACAATATTTCAAACAGTGTATTGCCGAGAGTTAATAGATTCTAAAATATTCATCAACTTGTACATAAATTTGAAGAGAACTCAATTCGTGCTAGAATTAAATAACAGTTTCATTTATTGCTCAACATAGTTAACTTTAACAGCAAGTTGTACAAGAATATTCATTAAATAACATTCAACGAAACGTTCAAATCACAGATGATTCACAATTCCGTTACAACAAATCTGAGCATTGGTAAGACCGCCATGGATGGTTTTCCATCCAAAAAAATGCAAATTTAAAAAAAAAATACAAATAATCGCAGACAAAGCTACCTCAACTTGTGAATGGGATTCAAGAATGTGAAGAATCCTGGGGAACAGGCAAGTGCAATCCCGAAGCAGCGATTGCACTTGCATTTTTTAAGCATTGCATAATTTGCCATGCAAAGCGAGAGTTTGCATAACCGAACGATTGCTTTGTGATATTAAGAATAAAAAAAAGGTACCGTTGGAAATTGAACACCAGGTGGTAATAGCAGAAAGGAAATAAGAAATGGAGAATGAATAGTCAGGGCAGAATGGTGAAAGCCAGGAGACAAAAATAGGGTATGGGCAGAATCGCAAGAAAAAGAAATTGTGTAAAGCTATCAATCATTATCGTGACAAATTTCAATATTGAGATGGCAGTTGGCGGTAGCGATGATTTACGTACAAGTTTCTAATAGCAATAATGTTGATAAGAACGTTGCATGTCATTCACATAAAACTTAATCTAATACACGTCAGTCACGATAGGCGAGTGAGTAATAAGTAAACCATCCAGTCATGATGGGTAAATTATCGACTGGATCATTCAAGTTAGCTGCTAACGAAACATGTGTCCGATCATTACATTTAAAACATTTGACTACGGATGTTATCGAAAGAGATTCAGCATCGGAATATAAAGCGATGAGAGACTTAAAATTTAAAATTTTCAGACTCAAAAAGACACTTAATATAGAGATTAAAAATTGCACAAAAATATTACTTTTAATTTCCATGAAAAAGCTGCCGTAACTCCGTAGGCTCTCGAGCAAACGCCTGAGCGAAGACGTTTACAATTCTTTAACGCATGTATGCATAAAAGCAGGAATGAATGTTCGTTTAATCGGAGCATGTATCAAGAGAGTATTTCTAGTTCATATACCTGGACCTAGTCTTATTTGAAATAGCGTTACAGCAATTTCATTCAGAGAATAGAGATCGAAATATCATAATATCATTCGAATAAAGAGCACAGGAGATGAATAATGGAAAACACTATACTGGAGATGACGAACAATCTGGGCACCGCGATTCTTGCCCACAAGAAATAAGTAATAACATAGACCTCAAAAATCAGATTAAAGAAAAATATACCCTTACGCAAGGAGACAAGGAAGCGCGTGTGTGTATTGTGCATCACCCCAATAGAGTAAATGAGACCAAAGAGATAACAGTGTTAGAAAAAAATTAAGATAGAAATCAAAGTGGCAATCCTATTTTATTCTCCGCCGGTCGTCGGTTCTGAAGATGTTCATAGATTGAAGAAATAAAGAATTTTTGAAAATAAGAGAGAGGATTTGAAATAATACACAAAAGATGACAAACCTGTGACCACAATTTAAAATAGAAAACTCTATAAATGAACGCAAGATCACGCGAGAAATTGGTCATAAGAAGACATGCAAGCTTAGCTTGCATTCTTATCCTCGATATAACAGCTATTGACAGGCATACTACTGCGCATGGCAGCCCAACGTACAGCGACACATTGTCACTTCATCACAGAAATAGACAAAAATAGCATGGCGATTATAAATGCTGGATGCAAGACAAAACATTAGATTAGACTACAACCATATAATCGGTGTAGGCTGAAACGTTAAGAAGTATATATCTAGGCAGTGGGAAGTCCAAACAACATTTGAAAATTTGACGAGTTTCCTCGGAAATACAACAGTGGGACGGACGAGAGCGTTAAAAAGATAATGTTGTAAGGTGATTTTTTTCTGAGCTCTAGGTATATTTACTTTCAGATTTATTCTTCGAGAACAAATATTGCAATCAAAGTCTAACTATCACAGGCGCATGAGCTATGCAGTTCTGTTGCTCCCTGGAAAATCTTGACCATCATCAATGGCCGACAGCGGACTGAACGTCTTCAGTAGCATTAGCATCTTTATCAGAGGAAGAAGGAACAGACTAACAGTGACAGAAACAAAGACATTCTTACATGAGGTGGCATACAGTAGATGTCACCGCTTGTACGAGAGAAGCAGAGAAAGGAAGACAACAGATCTGTACAATTGACGCTCTGACCACGCAAAAGCCACAAGATTATTTTTCCCTTCTAAGAACATACGAAACAAGGCATGTAATTAGGTATTAATACAAGAGTTATCTGATTTCAGTCATGACAATTACCGCACGTTTTAGTCATTTGAGTAGGGGCTATTACCGCACGTTATAGTCGCTTGAGTCAAATAATTACCGCACGTCTTAGTCATTAGAACAAGATAATTACTGTAGGTCATCTAATTCTAGTCATGGTGGTAAACATGTGTTACACATGTTACTTCCTTCAAAGTTTCCGTTATGATAGTGTTACAAAATCATGCAAAAGAAATCTGTTTCAACACGATAGTACTAATATTTTACCGTAAAACTACGATGTAAGCAACAGCAACACTAAATTTGTGATCTACTGTAAGCGTATCTATATTCTACATGTAAAGTCTTAGCCTTGAGACTTATAAGCTAATCTCAAGTTCACATACACAATGAGGGAGAATTATTTCGAGATTCATGGTTTCAAGGAGCTCGGTCGTAGCGAAAACGACAGTCAAATATTCTTGTATAAATCTGATTGACAAATAGAAATCAATTGCGACAATATATATACTTCATTATTATGTGACATGAGTTTATGAGATTCATGACCTCGCGCGCATCAAACAAAGTCCAAATTAACATAAAAACAAGACCATTAAAAATGATCAAAGGCAAGACCAAAAGCAAAATCAACGAGAATTTTTTAACTGAATAGATTATACCTACTTCTACAATCTAATCATTGATGAGATACATATAAAAAGCGTAATAAGATGAAACGTCCTTATGTCAGCTAAAACGAACATATTTCATTACTCACTTCATTAATTTTACAGTACAGAACAATGTTATTTTTAACATTAACCCTGGGAATATTCCGTCAGTTTATGATAACATTAAAGAACTTAATTTTAAATACAATTCCATGCGATTAATTCGTTTTAATATTCCTGTGGTAAAATAACAAGGGGAAAATCATAGGATAAAAAGACCGGTTTGTGACCAAGCAGCACAGATCAGTAGCCTCAAGAACAGAGCTACGGAATATCTATGGATACAATCACACTAAACGTATCCTAAAGAAGCAAGATAATGGAGTACACAACTTTTTCCTAAATATAAAATGCAAGTTACTTCAGCGCATTATATATAATATCAATTAAATTATGGAATTCAACTTTGTGCGACATGTGCAAATTATTTTTAGCAATTCTAGTCGTGCCAAGTTTAATTTGAGTTCAATTGTCATACGATAAAATAGCTAGACTTCGACTTCGAAAGCTTATGATATAGAATAAAACTCTTGAATAGAATTCTTCATAAATTTTTCTAACAAGTTCCATAATATTTCGAGCCAATAGAATAACATAATAAAATTTTTGATAAAAAATAATCCAATTAAAACGTATATAGATATATAATAAATCTTCCGAAGATTACGTGGTGCAGAATCAACCAGATTATGAACTATAAAAAGCAAGGCATGGGCATCATGGCAGCAGGCGCAGGAGCGGCGACAAGCACGCCTACGCGTTGGGAGCGCCAGGCTGGTACTGAGGCGAGTACGGTGGCGGCTGTTGACCTGAAGAATAGGGGAGACTCGAGTGAATTTGCTTGCTTTATGTTAGTTTTCATTTATCTATGTGTTTTATTTATTTATTGCCGATTTATTTTCTTTGTTACCCCACATTGGTGGCGTGGATTACGCATGTAAATCCATGCGTACCAAAATCGACCGTAACGAAACTGACTGAAAACGCGACCAATCTGGTCATGTTTTCGCGGGTCTGGTCTGGTCTAGCATGCGACCACTGTAAGGCTAATAGTTAGTTAGTTTAGTGGCCACATGTTAACTAGTGCTTCAGCTATTTAGCTACCTCGCACCGGAAGTCAAGATGAACCTCAAAAAAGAGGTGGAAGGTCTAAATTGTCGAAAGTTTCTCAAATCAAAAAATGTTCATCTGCCACAAGGGGCGGGAGGTCTCAGTTGTTCAGCTCGCTGACGCTGGCGCGAAAAAAGCAGCGTTAGCATCTCGAGACGAAGTGACAAGGAGGGACAGGTGAAAAGTAATAGAAACTCGAATAAAAGGTCGCTTACACGGGAGGTCGGCCGCCCGCACGAGAGAGACAGAGAAGGGAAATGTACGGAACCCTACCTACATAATAACTTAATGTGAGGAATCCTACCTACATAATAACTTAATGTAAGGAATCCTGCCTACATAATAACTTGACCCCACAACTGAGACCTGCAGTCAGACACCGCGAGCTCAGCGGTGGGGCGCTCAGGAAAAATCCCACTAGGAGCGAGAAATCCCATAGGAGTTCTGACGAGCACAGACACCCGTCAGAAGTCCCCCCTGAGGGGTAAAGCTAAAAAGCTATTAGTTAATTGTAAAGGCTTCCATGCAACTGGAGAAATAGAAGTTGGAATTATAAAAACATGACATGCAATTTATTGACTTGGTTATTAGTAAAAAGAAGCGCGTTATTAACGTGTGCGCGAGGAGCAAAGGTAAGAATGAGACATTCCAAATGGTAAAAAACAATTAACTTAAGGGTTAAGGTAATTTAAAAGGAACCCTAAATGATACGTGAAATTACTAAATTCTATTAGTGTGTTATAGGCGGAAAGGTAGTTCTTGGATAACTTAATTTTACAATTTGAGCATCTTAACTATCGGCTAAATTAGGATCGAGTTGGGAGCAAATTTCAAAGCCTGTTGTTAAGCCTTTACGATGTTTTGAGCCCTGAGGTTTAATGAATTTAAAAGAACAACGAAAACTAGCTTATACAAACCTACGAAGCTACCCAACTGGAACTGCAAGATGAAATTTTGCAAGCACATAAATGAATGAAAGGGCAATGATTCTTAGATTCATCTGAAATAAATTTCAAATCTTTTGCTAGACATACAATTTAATAAAGTAACGGTGTTAACAGAAATATATCTGTAAATAATTCGTTACTGCAGTATATATAATCTTCAGGAAATAACGAATAAAAAGAGCAACCATATTTTCAGACATAAATGCGTTTAGAGACGAAATGAAAGAAATAAATTCAAATATACGAGTTATGTTGAGACTGACCAGGCTGGCCAGGAGGCTCCGAGTATTGTTGGTTGGGGATGAAGTTGGGGTCGTTCATGGGGAAGCTTGCGCCGTCCTGAGCCATGCCCCCACCAGGAGCCTGGTTCCTGCGACCTCCAAACGGCAGCCCCTGGAACTTCCCTCCAAGTCCCCTGCACGGCAATGTTAGTGTCAGAAAAACGAGGGAGACCTCGTTTCCAGTCAAGAATTATTATTCAAAAATGCCAAACGGACAGCCACATCTGCGGTGCTAGAAAGATTTGGATTTAAATGCAACATGAGTTTTGGCATCGAGTAGTTAGAATAGAATAAGAATATAATAGAAGTGTCGGCATTGAAGAAATAGGCCCATGGCCTGTTGCCGATTCTTGAACTTTTCGTGCCTTGATTAACAAGGGATCCGGCCTTTGGAACCTGATCTTCGCCTAACTGATGATTGATTGAGATAGCTGCTGGACTTATTGCCTGGTCCGTAATTTGCTAGGCATTTTAAGACTGTATATATGCTCCATAGTCTAACCGTAGTTGGTAGAGGAAGTTTTAGGCTGTCAAAAACACTGGCAGGCTGCATTTGAGCTCAGTTAGAGGTAAGTTTTTACGATGATAATATACAGGAAAAGATAACAAGTTCTTGACAGCTAACACTGAGTATAAAGTTTGCTAAGTGTGCACCGCCCATGACTCACTTTCCCTTGCCCTTGAAGCAACAGAAGTAGATGAGCGCCCCCAGCAGCAGGAACCCTAGCACGCCCCCCGTGCCTCCTCCCGCCTTCTCCCCAAGGTACGGGTCTGTTGAGGCAAACACCATGAATGTGCTATATTAATTATAGCACAAATTAGTATAAATAATTAGTAGATTAATTAGTGCTTATCCACACTAATTAATGTACAGAAAACTAATTCATTTAAAAAATATAAAACACGTAACAAAATTTTAAAACGCGTCCACAGTTGCATTTAGCAGGAAAATTTGTACCTATCATGTAACACGTTGACTTGCCAAATGTATGCATAAAAATGTTGACAAAGCCCAATTTTTCAACAAAACATAAATTTTATTAGCATTCAGTACTGTACTACTAACAATCTATTAAATAGATTTATATCAATAAAATTCTTTTAATTGTACCGGTACCTACTGCACATATGCTGAATCATCACCATTTATAAAATAAATAAACTACATTCATCCTTCCCATTGTAGCTTATATATTCTCTCATTATGAGAATATATTTCATGTTAACATAAATGTCGTTTGCTGCTGTTCCTTGTACACGAATCTCGCCATAAAAACTCATTTGATGTTCATCATCAACTCTTTAAAACAGGATCATTTAGTGGTCCTGTCTTACCCCATGTCCGGTCCTTTTTTACCCCATTTTAGAATAGATGTCAGGCAGTGATGGTAGCAGGTAGGAATGCCTAGTATGTCTCAAAAGTTGCCTATTACTTGAGGTTACCTGCCTACATCCACAAACCTGGCCAAAAAATTTATTGTGATCAGACAGAGCTTATTTCCCAAATAGGGTTAACTATTTTGTGACCCTTCTTTACATAGGTTTTCCTTAAAAATTAACCAAAAATTCATTATTTGCAGAACAGGGTTGAAACAAACACTGAAATGACAGGCAATGATTGTTCTAACATATTCTTTTATCAAATTGAATTCAGTGCAATTAGAATGCACACCATGGGCTGGTCCTTTCTTACCCCATGAAGGCTGCGATCCTGTCTTACCCCATTTGACTATAACTGATCAATTTATTTCAAACTTAGCTCAACAGTCTGATAGCTAGGTACCTAATGGGCTCTAGCTTAGAGATTCATAAACGTCACAGTAGCAGTACCTGAAATTCAAAGATATCTTTTTAAACTTCTCTTAATGAGTTTAGGACAGTGGGAGGAGTGTGACATCTAGTCAGACCTTTGATTCAATCAGTGTCATGCAGCACAATGCCATTGTAATTTGAAAAAAATTACACTTACATGGGGAGCTACAACATCTGTACTAAAAAGAAGCATTATTGTTCTCTCTAGGACTATATTCTTGAAATCCTCCTCTTCATCAGCCTCCTCAAACTCTCCACTCTCTTTTTGCAATCTTGATAACAGCCTCAGTCGCCCAACCCACAAAAAAAAACTTGAGTTGTTGCAAGACAGGATGGCCCAATGTCTACAGTTCAGAGTACCAAGATAAAAGCAGTGAATTGCAGGTTTGAACCCAGCTTTGGGTGCCAGTTTTTGTTCAGAATTGACAAGGAGGTTGTACAGCTAAGCAAAGCAAAAATTAGAGCAGTGGTTGTGCGTTTGTGACCACAACAAACTGAATGTTCTTCTCTGTTAAGAATCGGCAATAGGCTTACGGCCTAATAAACACTGAAATTGCTATATATAAAATACAATAATAATAATCAAAATAATAAATTAATGCTTAGGCATCACTTTTCTTTAGTAACTTTAAATTTTTTTTAATTCCATTCCTCTACGCCTTATCTCTTATCGAACCTAAAATTCAGCCTAGACAGGATCAACAGCATAGTATCAGTCACAGGTTCCTATTATCTCACCAGATGTTCCTGATGCTGAACCAGCACCTTGCTTGCAAGTCTTTAAGGTTTTATCCTCATGAGTACCGGGGGGACATTGGCAAAAACTCCCTCCACATACAGCATTGTAGAGAGACAGACATGGGTCATTGAGCTCTCCCTTGGCTGGATCCAAGTTGCATTTTGTTGCTTTCACTCCTGAAACAGATGCATGGTTTGAGGTCATTAAGTCTTTATTTTATGATAAAGAGCAGAAGAAAAAATAATAAGATACAAATGTCAGGACTAATCAATTGAACTTATCAATAAAAAAATTGGATCTTAATTGATTTTATAAGACCTAAAAAAATAATTGATGATAAATCTTGTTTTAGTAACTTGTCATCTCAATATTTACAGCAATGACTGGGTACTAGCCATGTCTGTAAAGATATTCTGCTATGAACTTAGTGAGAGAAAAAGAAAGTAGCTTTAATTACAAACAATTATTTGCACTAAGGGACATGTTGTTACTAACAATAATCAATAAATGTGAGCCAGGATGTCCTAGAAAATTTTGAATATTTTCAGAACTAAATATTTGAATGAAATTGGGGAATTTTTTATAAAAATGCTGAAAATAAACTCACCAACATTAAAAGCTGGAACAGAAGGCAAGGCACAGAGAAGAGTGAGCACCACCAGGCAGCTGGCAGCTCCACTAATGACCTGGAGCCTCATGATGATGGCCTGCAAATAAAAATTTTATTATAACTAAACAATGAGTAGGCATGACAAATTTTCCAAACTTTTCATTATTTTCTTCTTGACAAACTGAAAAGTTGGAGAATTGCTGCTGAGAAATAAATTTTATTTAAGTGCCATCAAAATGCCTTTCATTATATCAATTTTGAGATGCTAATATTTTCTTGATCATTTTAAAGCTCAGTGGTAGTTAAAAACGGCCAAACTGATTTGTTTAGCAGCAGGGAGAGCCATGTGACTAAATTAGGTGCAACAACAATAGGAATAGGTCATAAATCTGGGATGAGTTTTGCAATAACACTAATCTACTCATTTTACTGTAACTTTGGAAGTGCAAAAAGAGTTCAACAGAAACCCAAATTTTCTAGAGTAATCAAACAACGTTTTTAGTTATTATGTAGAAATTAAATCCTATAAATTCTAATTCTAACCACTGACCAGTTTTATGTGTTTTTATTGATGAGCAGCAAGTTATATTATGAGCATTAGTTGCCAAGTGGCAACTTATTGGTCATTGATGTTGAGCAAAACAATAAGGTTTAGCAAATGATAAAAATGATAAAAAATGCAAATCTTAGCAAGTGATAAAAAATGAAATTTGAATTATATAAAGTTCAAACAATAGGAATTATGCAGCAAGTTTTAGCTGAAGCCTATCTATCTGTCTAAGGGCTAAAATAATAATAGCTTTCTACATCCATATCAACCTTTTCAACTAAATTGGAAAACTGGGCAGAAGCTAACCGTTAATTGGACAAAGAATTGGAATTTTCCTACTTGTTTCTGAAATCTTGCAGCTCAAATGTGACAAATTTACAATACATTTCGAATCTTGCAGCCTGATCACTCATTTCTGTTAACAATTAAATAGGAGGTAAATCATCTGGTGGAAATCTCATGGTACTGGAAATGGCAAGAAGGCTTAAGTCGCAGCCCTAACATAAAGGTAGAGGTTTTCCATGTTTGAATTTGACAAAAATGCCCATGGCTCTGTAACCTCTGTTATACTGATAAGAAAATCTTCCATGAATAATGAATCTAACCAATTTCACCAATCACCCTGGATTCACCCATTCTTATGGCATTTTCCTCCATTTCTTTACTGATAACCAAGAAATGCAGTATTTTTACCTACAATTTCTAAAAATAATCTGTGAAATGGTCATTTTACTGGTGATTTTAGGCAACTTTTAATCATAGTGACAAACCAGAGATTTTTTAGAATCAGTTAATTTTAAACTTCATTTTACTCAGATTTAAAGCAATTTCCTAAGTACGATAATGCTGCTATCCGTGATACTTCACTGGTCAATGGTCATCAATCTACATACCGTAAAATGGGGTTACTTAGACTTCTGGGGTAACTTGGACCACTTTTAGTTTTTTTAACATAAACCCCCAAAACTCAAAAACTATTTGAATTTTGTCAATGGGCATTAAAGGCCTATAACTGAGGCTACGTAACACAATAGAAAGATAAAAAATTATGCATATCGAATGGGTTAAAAAATGAAAAATGTGACTCACAAAAAAGAGCTATTATTTAAAGCCTGTCATAGAACTCCCTCTAATTTTTTTATTTTTTGGTAAAATAACTCCAGGTTTTGATGCATTGTAGTAGAACTCTTCTAGTTACATATGCAAATTACAAATTTGAGGAAAGTGTCATAGTTTGCAAATGGGGGGCGCCACCCCCGAATGGCGGAACTTAGACCACCTATCGCACGTGCACCTAATGTCAGCCCTGATGCAGTAACATAGACCAGCTTGGAAATTAATTAAAAATTACCATATATATCATATTTCAGGTTTGATACACCTATTAATGTTTTTTCTTATGTTTCAGACTCTACAGTCTACAGAGTCATATATATGGTAATTTTAACTTAATTTCCAAGCCGGTTGATATTACCCTTTCACGGCTGACATGAGGTGGTCTAAGTTCCCCATTTGAGGGCGGCACTCCCCATTTGCAAATTATGACACTTTCCTCAAATTTGTCATTTGTATATGTAACTAGAAGAGTTCTACTACAATGCACCAAAACCTGGAGTTATTAGGATTTATTTTGCCAAAAAATATAATTGATTTTACCACCCAGTCTAAGATACCCTAAGATCTGGGGTAACAAAGACCATCACTTTTTTTGAAATTACATAAAAACTATGAGACGCGGAGCCAGCAATTTATGGTAAGTGAACCTAGAGTATAGACCTGTATTTTGCATGTTTCAATTCAAGTTTAAATTAACTGGTAAAAAAATGGCATCATTTAAAAAAAATTGTCTAAGTTACCCAATTTTATGGTACATGAATAACATGATAGGTACATAACTCAAAAATGAACTTGAGGAAAAGTCTAAAATAAAAAACTCTCTGATTTGCCAGTTACCACTATGCTTCTAAGTTCTACGGTTCTACCTTCTATTAGCTTCTAACAATATTACTAATTGGCATATCATTGATATCAATGATTCAATAAAATATAGGGGGCCTAGTGATAAATTTAACCTCAACA